GTATGGCCAATGACTCAGCTTACAGGGAATGCCCCTTGGAGCTGGGGTGCAGCCCAAAACCAAGCGTTCCAACAGCTGAAGAAGCAAATGGCAGAAGACGTAATCCTAGCGCTACCAAAAGAAGATGGAAAATTCAGAGTAGAAGCAGACTCAAGTGAGGGAGCAATAGGTGCGGTACTAAGCCAACAGCAAGATGGCAAATGGAGACCCATAGCATTCCTTTCAAAATTGTTGATGATGACAGAAAGAAACTATGAAATATATGACAAAGAACTTCTCACCATAATGCTAGCACTCGCCGAATGGAGACACTACCTCATGGGAGCGGCAGTAGACTTCGAAGTATGGACGGACCATCAAAACCTTCAATATTTCCGAAAACCCCAAAAGCTCAACCAACGACAAGCTCATTGGGTAACTGAACTCGCCGAATACCATTTTTCTCTTCACCACAAACCCGGCACCGCAAACTGAAAGGCTGACCTACTATCCCACCGGGATGATCATGACCAAGGCAAACAAGATAATGATGAAATTGTAGTCTTAAAGCCGGAACACTTCAGAGCCATGATTATGCCCACCACATCCAGCATTCACTCAAAAATCAAGCATGTTACCGAGAGCACCGACAAGTGGGACCGAGGAATCTCTGACTCCCTGAATCACAAAAGAGGCATCACAATGGAAAAAGGACTCCTGATGCTGACTGGAAGGATCTATGTGCCCCAAGACGAAAAGCTCAGAGGAGAAATCATTGCCATGTCCCATGACCACCTCACCACCGGACATCCCAGGATTGACAAAACCAATGAACTCATTCAAAGAGAGTACTGGTGGCCCAAGATCAAACAGACAGTCGAGAGATACGTCAAAGGATGCGAAACATGCCAACGAGTAAAATCCAATACTCAAGCGCACAAAGCACCCCTCCATCCCAATCTCATCCCCTCAGAACCATGGACCCATATTTCAGTAGACCTAATCACTGGCCTCAAAGAATCCAGCAGATATGACACCATTTTAGTTATTGTAGATAGATTTTCCAAAGAAATCATCCCAGTAGCATGTAACGGAACTCTAATGTCTGAAGGAACAGCCAAAATCTTCTGCGACAAAGTGTTCGCCATCCATGGCATGCCAAGAACTGTGATCTCCAATTGAGGCCCCCAATTCATCTCCAAGTTCATGATGGACCTCTACCAAATTCTTCAAATAACCCCCAATGCATCCACAGCCTTTCACCCACAAACAGACAGACAAACGGAGAGAGTCAATCAAGAGATTGAAAAATATCTAAGGATATTTACCAGGTACCAACAAGATGACTGGCATGAATGGCTCGCCCTGGCAGCATTTGCCCATAACAACCGAAAGCACTCTGCAACTGGCCAAAGTCCATTCTTCACCATCTATGGACTCAACCCCTGAGTCGTCCCCAAAACTGAACGCCGTAGCCCTTTCACCAATCCCACTGCCAGCAATTTCACATCACAAATGCAGAAAATCCACAAGCTATGCCAACAATCCCTTGAAGAAGCAGTGGCCAAGATGAAAACCCAATATGACAAGCAAAAAGGAAAGGCAATCATGTACAAAAAGACGACTTAGTATGGCTCAACACCACAAATCTCCACCTCCCGAGGCCAAAGAAGAAGCTTGACAACAAACGAGTCGGCCCATTCCAAATCCTAGAGAAGGCAGGTGCCTCCGCATACAAACTGAAACTCCCACCACACTGGCAAATCCACCCCCACTTCAATGAAAAACTCCTTACTCTGTACACAACTCCAGCATTCCCAAACCAAGAACTTCCACCACCACCACCAGATCTCATTGAAGATGAAGAACAGTACAAAGTTGAAGAGGTCCTCAATACTTGAACCTGAAGGGTAAGAGGAAAGAGGGGTCAACCTTCTCGACTGGTAACCAACTATCTAGTAAAATGGGTAGGCTGGACAAGGGAACACAATGATTGGGTCACCAAAGAAGACATGGAGAATGCTCAGGAGTTAATCGAAGAATATCAACAGAGTCAAGCAGAACATGGAAGAGTAATAACGGCGGAAGCCATTATAAACCCGAAAGCAATAAAAGAAATCGTGGGACATGAGTACAAGGAGACAGGAAGTGGGACATGGGAATACTTCTACACAGTCAAACGAAACAATGGAAAGAAGATCCAAGTCCAAAACCCAGACAGAGAAGCATGGAAGGAGTATATTCAAGACTATTGGAGAGCAGTAAACGAAGAGCTAGAAGAGATGCCGGAGCCCTAATGGCAGTCAGGATGACTGCCTTAACAAGAGGGTAATGTTATGATTTCTCGCAGATATTCACTTTTCTTTCTTATTAACCAAAGCCTGAGTAATCCCCGACCCCACATGATCATTAGAACCAAAACCGGGAGGCTCAGGCCAGGTAACTACGGCTCGCACTTACCGCACGACTACCGTATTGTCTTCATATGTTGTGACTATTATTAGCAGCATAGTTTTCATATATAAGTAGGTAGCTCTCATTGTAATACCCCAGCTTCAAGCTAAAGTTTATCTATACCGAACTTCTCTCCCAACTTGCTCGACCTAAGACATTAGTCCGAGATCATCACTTATATCCGAACTCTACGAGACTCCCAGGTGACTGTCCGAACACAAGACAGCCTGAGTTTACTCTTGTTTGGATCACGTGAGGTTCAGGTCTAACAACATGCTAGCCATATCATTTTATCTTATCTCTTGTGTGAGGTTTGGTCTGGCCTTTTCAGGTATGGTACATCACTTTTAATTTAGTGAGCACACCAATCTTTTCAATTACAATCTTCTTTATTCTCTGCTTATGGAAGTGAGCTCACTCAGTAAGCATGACTACCCATGGCCAAACAGTGCTTTGTGAACTTTCTGTCAAGCATGCCTGTCAAGTACCTGCTGTAACTAAGCTCTGGTTTATGTCTGTCACATCAGGTGTCACTTGTGCATACAATTATGATGCCCTTGCATACTTGTTATGTATGCTCACTTATTCTTTAAGTACACTTGCTCCCTATACTGTATTACAAGTTATATTCAGAATAGATTGCAAAATTACATGGCTGGTATGTTTGCAGTCGCACCACCAGTGGTGATGCTAAGAGCATTCAGATCTGAAGTGGGGTAAGATGGTGCATATATAACTCACAGGTTATGATAACATCGTTGGCAACAATTCCAACAAACCAAGTGTGCCCCAACACCACCTCACATGGCAGAACATCTTGCATGTCCAATTAAATTGATAAACTGTCCTCCAAGAACAAAAGCAGTCAATATGGGCTCATAGACGAACAGTGAGAATATCACTCGCCAACAATGAAAACTGAGAGTGATGATACAGACAGTCACAATGGTAAAAGAGTGAGAACAGTGTGGGTAAAAATCTGGAAAAACATACAGCTAAATATCAAAATGCAACTAGGCTGTGCATGAGATAATGTTTCATAATATACTGGCAGATATTTGTCACATTCCTGTTTCTATTCAATACATATTTTTAGTTCTATATATATTTTTATATTATGTCTCAGGGCTCCACAACATGGTTAGGGGGCACATAGGTTGGCGGTAATCATGTTTTTTCATGCCAAAATGCAAAACATTAGTGCCCTACAAGACCCCCTACCTAAAGGTAGCGGGAATTTGAAAAGCACCTCAGGACTTGCTTCACCACATTGTTTATACTGATGATCCTGCTCTGCCCTGGTCCTAACATATCTACAAGCACATCTATCATAGCCTGCCTCTGCTACAGATGTGCAAATCCAGAAGAGTAGATGTGAACCCACCTCATCCTCTTGATTTTCATTGGTAGATTTAAACCATTTGCACAGTCCCACAGGGGTGCATTCAATAAGCAGAGAATCTGATCTTGAAAATGGTCGGGAGTTATGGGTAAGAAGTATCATAGTGTCCAGAACAGAACTTGAGGGGTATAAAGGGACATAATGAATCCTTTTGCCAAGTTCATTGGCTTTGGGTGGGACATCTGGCTCTTTGTTGGATACAGGGGCTTGACTCATCTGCACTTGACATCTTTGGTTTCGATGAAGGGTATGTAGGATGGGGAAGAGGGAGGATTGGCCTGGATGCCACAGAAAATGATGACAATCTATCAATGGGCTTGATACCGACACCCATGTTGCTGGTTTCTGAGCTAGGATGTAGAGGGACCCAAGGACCGAAGGGTGCATCCGGATTCTGTTGTATGGCGCATTAAGATATAAGCATGATTAGGTAATTCTTCTGTCATACAGCTGCAACACTGTTGTCATACATCTTGTGACGATGGAAGTTGAATGTTGAACACTTGGACTTGCCAACCATGAGGCCCAGTCAACTTTGCCTCCCAAATACAAACAAATACATGCCAATCAGTATTGGAAGCAAAATGAAGGCTAAATTTGGATGAAAGTCCGTGCAGATTCACTGTTCAGAACGCATCGTCAAAGCATGTGATCTTGGCCCTCCTTTTGCCACAGCTACCAGTAACGTCGTTTAGGCGCTCGTCTCGCTAGCTAAGAGCAAGCAAGCTTCCTTTTCATTTTAATGGGGTAGAGACTTGATTGTTCATCATCACATGAATCAGGACTAGGATTACTTGAAGGTCAGGAAATCCAGTGGCACCAGCAATTGCCATGAGACACAGTTCAAGTTTCCAAGTAGTATTGTGTGCGAAAACCTGACAGTGATACACCAAAGTTTCAAACAGGTGTTTATGCCTGTACTTACGCTAACCATTGTGTGGTTCCCCATACTTAAATTCTGGCAAGTTCAGCAGTCTTGACTCTACAGCTTTCTCACTAGGCCTTCCCATTCAGCAGCAGGGGATATCAGGATCAGTTGGACCTCGGGAGACTGCCCAGCGCCCGATGCCACTATGGGTTAAAACTTAAGGGCCAAGGCTTGAATCTGATTAAGCTTGGTGGACACTTTGAAGAAAGAAATTCAAAGAAATTGTTCCGGGATAATGGGCTTGACTGGGAATTGAACCCAGGACCTCCTCGAGCAGTATGTCACAATATCACCCTAACAAGGAATCATACTACTGGACCGTCAAGCCACTACCACTGTTGGTATTCTTGGGAGGTCGGGACGGCGGTACTTGCTCGCGCATGCAGTCTAGAATGAGACTGAAACATGCCTGCATCGTCTTTGAAACGGCTACGTTTGTTTTTTCATCCTGTCAAAAGACACAGAAAAGGATGAAGAGTTATGAAAACCTACATTATCGACACAGCCGCCAGTATCTGTATCTGATATCAGTCAGGGATGATGCATGTGAGGGGAGCCAAGACTGGACGATCGTATTTGTGAAGAGTTTTTGGCTATTTGTCTTGATGAGATCCGCGCCGAACTTAGAAAGATATATTGACAGACGAGGAAAACAGCTTCTACTGCATACGCCCCCTGCCACACTGCTCCATACGCACCGGAAGACATGGCCACCTCCACAGTGAACCAGCCAAGTCTGTGGTATCATTGGGACCGACTGCCAGCGCGTCTATCCCCGATGTCAATGTCATATGGAATGTTGGTGGTTCGGCGAATTCATGCTGTGCAGCAGTTCCGTGAAAGCGCCGAGAAAGGAAGCTATCTGTGTCCTTGCTCTAAGTACTGGAAGGGGCCCTTCGGCAGATATAAATGACAGCATCAAATTTGCCTTGCCTTGGATACAGTGTCACTCCACTTGACCGTAAGGATCGTCCCAAGTTCCGAAGGCATGTAAACGGGGACCTTGACAACGTTTTTCTTGACTAGAGAGCAAAATATTGAGGGAACCTTATCAGAACGAGGGTTGCAATGAGGTGGCGGGAAAAGTAAGACAAAAATTCCCGCCAGCAGCGTCGACTCATCAATAGGTAGATTTGGGTCCAAAAGATAAGCATTGATGTAATGAAACGGGGCGCTTCAGGCCAGGGAACACGCTTAAAGGACTCAAAGGGCACCGGTCGTGACCGTGCCGAAGAAGGAAATTGATAGAATATGACTAATTATCGGCACGCGACCAGCCGGCAACAGTCCTTATCTCACCCCTTTGGGTGTTGTTGCGTACGCAAGCTCTCTTGAACTTCAACCATCACCACCTACCATTTCCTATATATTGACCCTCCTGCGACCTGCTGCAATCTCCTACTGCTGTCCCCTCTTTCTCAATGCGTTGTTTAGTCATCGCGTCGCTGGCCGCCCTAGCGGTAGCCCACTCGAGTCATTCGAGCCCCACTAGACTACGGAAGTCGCTAGGATTCGGTCCTGTCCATCCTCATGCGGTGTATCACTCCAGTCCTTATCAGATCACCACGAACGGATTCCTTCCGTCAGCTCTTATAGAAGACCCTTTTGAGGTCGCGAAGCTCTTCATAGAGGATATCCTGGCCGAGCAACTCTCCGATACCAGCTCTTATAGAATTCGGAAGGATTCCTATACCGACAAGAATACTGGGATTACCCATGTCTACGTCCGCCAGATCATTAATGGCCTAGAAGTTGTTGATGGTGATATGAACATCAACATCAAGGATGGTTTAGCGATATCATATGGTAACTCGGTAAGTTCTCTGCTTTCTCACTTAGTTTTGAGCTCTGCCTAATCTGTCCTAGTTTTACAAAGGAACAACTCCTCAGGCGTTCTCCAATCCCGACCTCGATGACATTCGTCACCCTCACCGAGAATACTGCGAGGAACTCGAGGTTGAGATGAAGAGTCGTCTCGATTCTTTCCTGGGACAGTATGGACAGACCGTCATGGAGGAATTTGGTTCTTGGGAATCTCACCCTAAATTCCGCTCATTCTTTGGACCCCTAGCACATATACACACATCCAACTGCCGTGCTACGCATCTTCCTTATGACATGGCCTCTGCTGCTGAGGTCGATTTCGCTGATGTTCGACCTGCTCTTCTCCAGTTTATACTGGCGGCAACCCCTGATGACAAGATGGTCAATGACATTCTTGCTAACTATGACGAGTACCTCGCGAAGATGTCTGTCTCTCGGGAAGATCACTTTGTTAACCCCGATGAACCTGTCGTTATGTCTATTGACAACGTTCCGGATGCTGTCAACCTCGTGAGGTCGAGCTTGACCTATATTCAAGTGCCCAACAAGAAGGGTGACAGTACTGATCTCAATCTAGTTTGGAAAGTAAGTGACCTGCGTTTTTAGTCGAGATTGCGACTTATACAGCCCTTAGTTCGAAGTTGAGATGCAAGACAACTGGTACGATGCCGCCGTTTCCGCTACGTCTCCTCACCGTATCATCTCCGTCGTCGACTGGGCGTCGGATGCCCCTATTCCTACCCCGGAACCTTCCGTGCAACCGGCTACTTACAACATCTTCGGATGGGGTACGAATGACCCTGCGGAAGGCGAACGCACCATTGTCAAAGAGAATTTCGACGTTTTGGCATCCCCTGTCGGTTGGCACGCAGTCCCTTATGCAAACGACCCGTCTCTGAAAGGCGTCAAACCCAACGGCAAGCAATTTTGGAGAAACACCACGACGACTTGGGGAAACAATGTAAGTCGATGTCTTACTTCGAAGACCTGTTATAACCGAGGGTCCGTAGGTCTTTGCTCAGGAGAACTGGGAAGGTCAAAACTCATTCATCGACAACTACCGTCCCGACGCAGGCGTCGACAAAGCGTTTGACTTCAAATACGCGCCCAAGGTCACCGACAAGACTGACGCGCAAGATGAGGCGTATGGTTACATCAATGCCACTGTCACCCAACTGTTCTACACTACCAACATTATACACGACTTCTACTACAGGTAAGCACGCTTTATCCCTTGGCTTGTATCCATTGACCCGCCTCTTCAGATACGGGTTTGATGAAGTCTCTGGCAACTTCCAACAACACAACTTCGGTCGTGGAGGCGAAGAGAATGACGCTGTCATTGCGAACGCTCAGGACGGTTCCGGATATAATAACGCCAATTTTATGACTCCGCCTGATGGTCGTAACGGACGCATGAGGATGTACTTGTGGAACACGGCTTTACCCTACAGAGATGGAGATATGGAAGCAGGCATTGTCATTCATGAGTTGAGTCACGGTTTGAGCACTCGGTTGACCGGTGGACCTGCAAGCTCCTCGTGTTTGGGCTGGGGTGAGAGTGGTGGTATGGGTGAAGGCTGGGGAGGTAAGCAATGGCATTACCTCGTCATCGCGTCCTTCCTTATCATGACGCACAGATTTCTTGGCTACCACCATCCGAAGCACGAGCAAATACTCTGACTTCCCTATGGGCGCATGGGCCGCTAATCGCGAACAAGGAATCAGGAACTACCCTTACTCTCTTGTAAGTCGGGCGTGCATCATTTCCGTCTCGTTCTGATATATTTTCGTAGAACGATACTATCAACCCTTCGACCTACCAGACCTTGGACAAGCCTGGTTACTGGGGTGTCCACGCCATTGGTGAAGTCTGGGCACAGATACTCTGGGTCGTCGAACAGCGTCTGATTGCTGTACACGGGTTCAGCGAAGACTTGTTCCCTCCTGCTCCCTTGGCTGACGGTACTGTCCCCGAGGGCAAGTTCTACCGACCCCGTGCCGGCAAGAAGCCTTTGGTGCCCAAACACGGTAATTCGTTGATCGTCCAGTGCGCCTCCTCTTCCCTTTCCACTCTTCTCATTACTCATCTGTTCAATTAGGCTCGTTATCAATGGAATGAAACTCCAGCCCTGCCGACCAGGCTTCTTCGAAGCTCGTGATGCAATCATTCAAGCTGATGAACAGCTCACTGGGGGAGAGAACTTCTGTACGCTGTGGAAAGCTTTCGCGGAGCGTGGACTTGGCGTAGATTCGAGGGTTGATGGTAAGACTCCTTGGGGTGGAGGAATTAGAACGAATGTGAGTCATTTTATGAATCTTTAATGCAAAGGATATCTCTAATGGATGGTCGATAGGGCTATGCCGCTCCTACTGCTTGCCAGTGAGCGTTAATGAACATTCTAGATGTCTACTATATCTACTACACATCTATTACACCTCCATGTACAACTAGTTATGATTACTGTTTTGGTTTTTATGTGCGATGATCCAAAAGAGACTCTGTACTGGTGCCGTCTCGAAAGGACATCACATCGAGGTTAGCTGTCTCCTTTGCTCAGGAGGCGAAATTGCGCCATTCACGTGAATATCACGAGTTAGGTCTGGCGCACAGTTTCGATCCAGAGAGACCTTGACAAGCAAGGTAATTCTTTCCCTCTTACATTCATGACCTCCTTCGCGGCTGTCAATATTCATCTGAGCTACCGCAACGAACAAGTACTTGCACTCTCCATCCTCATTGTCGACATTAAGCGATTATCAATTCGTCCTCTTAAATGGCTCAGATATGTAGCCTTCACAGTATTTGGTACCATTGGACATCTCGCTCTGACGGCAGACGGCTCTGCTGTTGAGGACGAGAATATCACTTGGGAGTCGCAGGATCGCCTTTGTGAAGATTATTACTATATCCCGGATGGTTAGAGAACTTCCTTCTTGGGGTTGCCGTCCCCTGATATATAATTGCTTAAGGGGAACTACATTTGAATGACCGAATCACGTCCAGTGCAACAGAACCACGCCTCCCGGAATTTTCGTCAATCGATAATACAGCGTGACGGAGACTCTTGTGTTTTCACTGGGGAAGAACTGTCGGTCTGCGAGGCCATACACTTACTTCCTAAAAGCAAAGGTGATGAGGTACGTCCAGATTCGCCCGGGTCGTTGGTTCACTGAATCTTCGTCCAGTACATCCAGATAGTCCATCAAGATCGCCGTCATGCATACTCCCGCCTTCCCTCTCCTATCCTGGAATTTGAAAGTCCTATCCTCGAATCCATGAACTGCGTTGAGAATGGGGTACTTGTGAGGAGTGATCTGCATAAAAAGTATGTCCATGGCGCAATTGCATTTCTGAAAGTACGTGAAATGGTCAACTTGTATCTGAAACCTTACTGAAGCATACAGTTTAGACACCGAACTTTGCTTTGAATCCGGAAGATATTCCCAGAGTCGAGGAAGGCGACGTACCAACTAGTCATATCACGCTTCAGCACATTCAGC